TTTAGGACAGAAAAAAAAATCCTGTTCAAAATGTTCAGGAAAAACATTCAGGAGTTAAATGGTAGGTGCTTAAGGGGTTTTTCAGCAGAAAATTGCTTAGGACAGAATGTGTTTTCTGCAGGTAAAAGGCTTGAAAACCACCATTGGATCATCTCTTCCAAATTTTGGTGTAATGTTGCAATGCATGCAACCTCCCGGATTGCTTACAGACAGTTATTTCTGCCGGGCTGGCCCTGCAATTGGGCAGAAGGAACTGATTTGGGGTGTCATGAAATGGCGGCAAATGGCTAGTTATTTGATATTATTGTTGTAGTTTGACTGTCAGGAAGGAGAAAAGTGCTCGAGGGATAGTACGTCTCAGGGGTCAACATAACTGTCCTTGGGCTTGGCAAGGTGGGGAAAGACCCAGAGAAGCGGTCTTGCCCCTGTTTTGCTTTCCTTCAAAAACTCTGTTAAATTAAGAGGTGTTAAGATACATGTGCCATTGTTACACTTGGAAAAACAACTCCAGAAGTAACTCATCTGAGACCAGTGCCTGATGGTAGTTAGATCTCTGTGTAGATTTAAATGGTAAGAAGAGAGGCTGAGCACACTGGGGCAGGTGTCCAAAGCAAGGGCCACCCCTCTTCTCTAGGACTGGGTAAATGGCATTTTGGAAAGAGTGATATAAAGTACGTCTTGTCTCAGAAACATTTTCCTCTCCCTGTTGAATGAAACGAATTTCCTTCTAGAGGAAGCCCAAGGCTGCCGGTTAAGACCTTCCTTGCTATGTCATAGTGTCAGCTTGTGAGACGTCCTGACCTTGTTTACTAGCTTGGGCTATTTAAGATGGCAGTCCCTTTCAGCTCTGCAGAAGTGCAACAGCTAGAATGTCTGGAATTTCTCAAATGCAGGAGGCCTCTTGTTCTAAATATAATCTTCAGATGGTTACACGGTACCTTTTCTGCAGCTGCAGGGAGACTCCGTATTTTACACTCCGAGTCTTTCATCTCTGCCACCCTGTTTGACAAAAACCTTCATTATGCTTGTCCTTCTAGACTAAGTCCAGGCTGCTTTATTGCAGCATTTCTGGCACAATATCCTCTTTACATGTCAATGTGGAGAAATAGCTCTTTCAAATATAATCCAGCAATTTAAATTGGCTAAAACGCTATCCTTGGAATTTTGGAATTCTGCTTACGGAGCTGCTGAAAGGAGTTCACCTTCTAATACTTGTCAAGTACACCCTCACCAGGCATTGCTAGAAAACAGCATCCAAACAGGAAAACAACCGTTGCTACTTTTAATGAGCTTAAAACAATCCATCAGCAGGATTCCTGCCCTCGCTTCCATCTTTTCGTCAGGCAATCGCACGAGCTGATTTGCCATGAAGGAATCAGTTTGTGTCAACACGGAATCTCGGTTGCTTCCTGATGCAGATCTGCTCCGCAGTCACTCTTGCCCACCAGCAGCATTTACGGGGGTCTAGACACCTTTTCCTTGTTCCCCTGCTGAGCCTGCCTTTTTCCTTCCCAATGAAAGAAAAGGTTAAGGTGCAAGAGTTGCAGAGTGTCCATTGTTTAGCCACAGGAGAAGCCTTCCCCTGGAAGCACACTTTTGCTTTTAAATTCACAAGTATTTTGGAAGAAAGAGTGGCACGTGTCACCATCTCCTAACACATCGGAGAACTGAGATGCTCTGAAACGAAAATGCAAATGATGCATTATCTCTTGTACTAGAAATTCTGCTCGTGCCACTAATTCTGTTCTCTAACTTGCAATGGAATGCTGAGTTCTACTGAGCATGAATGGAGTTCTTATTCCATTGGGAATGTGTTGGTGAAGTAGCCTCATCCATGGCCTGTTCCATTTTGAGACATTGGCTGGCACAGGGAAGAACGTTTGCTTTGTCTAACACTCAGTTGTGAGATATTTGTCTTCTCTTTTTAATTGTCATCACAGTGGTTTAAGTGAACCCCCTGGCAGAGAGATTGGCTTAGGCTCACTTTTGAGTTGGCAGCATTTTTATGGCCAGGACGAAAGCAGCACTATATCTTGAACTCAAGCACCACGGGGACCAAATACAGGGCGCTTTTTGCTGTGCTCCTCAGTGACATGGAATGTGATCCAGCTTGCTGTTTATGTAAACACACACCCAGACAACTTAAATCTGTGCATAAAGACTTTAAAAATAAGGTGCAGGGCATTTCTCTGCTCCAAAATATCTTATTAGCACATTTATCAATAATGCAGTCTTATTTTCTTCCTGATGGAGATGCCCTTCACCTTATGTGGTTGCTCAGGAGACCTCTGAACCAGACCCTGCACAGTCCTCTCTCCCTTCTCTTTTGACACAAGATCTCTTTGCTGCAAGGTGCTGTTCATGCTTTGTAGCATAAACTAACCAGATAGCATTGTGTTTTCCCATTTGTTCCTTCTCTCGGGGCCAAAAGACACATTAATTTAAAACTATATCTAGCAGTTGCATTTAAAAAAAAATAACTCTGGAATAGGCACAGGGCCAATGGTCTAGATCAGCAGAGAGAGTGGGGTATTTTATGATTTAGTTTGGGACACCTGCATCTAGTTCAGAGTAAAATGAATTAAAAAAAAATAGCTGCTATTTTTTTTAAATGTAGCAAATGTAAAGCAACAATCTGTATATATCCTTTGTCATTTGGGGTCTACTGCTTTTGCCACATCAAATATGCGGAATCCTCAGGAGCTTCTCCAAAACTGCATTCAACCCTTGGGCTGGAAGGAGTTCCTCAACTCCTGTGATGATCTATGCAATGTTATCTTGACACAGGGAGAAAGATGCACCTAAATTTGTGCATGCTGCAGTCCGTAGATGCTGTCGGGACACATCGCATCACCACTGCCCAGGACTAGAAGATATTCCCTCATCTTGAGTTAGGCGCATGGCACTTGACCGTGGAGATTTTCTTTCTCTGAATTAATATGGAACTCTGGCAAAAAGCAATCAAAGAATAACATATTAGCTAAATCTAGGCTGCATTGTGCGTATTAGCAGATGTTTTTTAGAAATTGTCTGGAATGGAGGACTCCATAATGACCATTCAGATCTGCAAAATATTGTGAAATACATTCAAAGAGCCAGGGAACTAATTCCAGGTTGATAGTCTCCAGTTTGTATTTGCAATGTTGATCCATTATGTGGTCAAGGTTGAACTCTGAAAACCCAAGGATAAATTTTATAGTGAGTGGAGTATATTGGAAGGAAATGGCTCTCAGGCTTGTCTAGCCACTTTAAGCACTGGAAATTCTCAGTTCTTTGCTTGTGCAGAAATCCAAGAAGAGACCATTCTGAGCAAGTTGTTATTCCTGTGGTCCTGTTATAACATTAGAAACCAGGTAGATACTTTTTGGTAACTTTGTGTTTAAACTTAATAGCTATTTTGTGGTTCAGGCTACTGTGGAGAGACAAAAAAACATTTCCATGGTTTTGCTATCATTTTGAGTACCTGCTTTTCCATTTCTGTTTGATGTGCAAAAAGTTGGACACCACTTCTGGACTCCTTTCTGGCATCAGGGATCAAGTATGACGATAAATAAGAGCTGTTGCACAAATAAATTGGTTGATTAATAATATTAATAGTATTACTGCCACTCTGTACAACTCTGGTGCGCCCGCAACTGGAGTATTGTGTTCAGTTTTGGTTGGGCCCCTCATTACAGGAAGGATATAGCCAGGTTAGAGTCAGTGCAGCATAGGGCCACAGCGTTGGCCGGTTTGCAGGGGATGCTGTATGAGGCGAGACTGAGGGAACTGGGTCTCTTCGGCCTTGAGAAGAGGAGACTCAGAGGGGATCTGTTGGCGACATACAGGTATGTGAGGGGGTGTCACACGGAGGTGGGTAGAGACCTGTTCTCCCCTGCAGAGAAAGGCAGGACGCGGTCCAACAGAGCAAAGTTCAGGGAACCCAGGTTCAATTTAGATGCCAAGAAGCACTTCCTGACAGTTAGGACCATGGGCTTCCACGGGAGGTGGTTGAGGCCCCATCGGTGAGGGTGTTCAAGGATAGGCTGGACATGCACATGGTGGGCATGTCGTGAGCGGAGCTGACTGGAGCTGGGGGTCAGACTAGATGGCCCGAGAAGCCCCTTCTGACTCGCTCTGTTTCTATGTTTCTATTAATAACATCTATTTAAGAGGTGATTTCTGTTGCAATTCATTGGGTAAAGCAATAGTTCTGGAGCAAAAAAATGCCCTTTTTAGTTTTATAACACATTTGTGTATCATGACTGCCATATGTTTGAGCAGGACTCTTAAATCCACCAGCAGCAACCAGCGTGACCAATGCTTGGGGAAGACAGCATCACTAGTCCAAAATCTAGCAGGCCACTCCCTCCCCAGTCTTGGAAGCATACTTTCCTTTGTGCCACCTGCTGTTTTTATATCCACATGTATACCTGCTGCCCAACTTAATCAGAGTATTTTTCCTTGATCAGTATGGTTACCTATTTATCTTATCAGTTTGATTATTCAGTATTGCAGACTTGGAGAACAGTAGAATATTTAGTAGCAGAACTCCACAATGCAACCACCTAAAGTAAGTCTGAGCAACTTGTCACTCTCTAGACGTTTTAGCCTACAGCGTCCATCAAGTTTAGCCAGCCAAACAGCATAGCTAACAGAGATCATGGAGGTTGTGGGCCAAAATGTCTGGAGGGCCACAAGTCACCCATCCCTAACTTTATGGAAGGTCTGAAGAATTTGGTTATTGCAGTTGCCACACAAGGCATTGAGCTTCCATTTAGCCTGAAGTGCCTGATCCTGCCTAACCTTAGAAGCTAAGCAGGGTCAGGCCTGGTCAGAAATGGGATGGGTGACTTGAGTGTATGATTCTATGATTATTGCTGTAAACTGCCCAGAGAGCTTTGGCTATGGAAAGTATAAAAATATATTAATGATGGTATCTGATATATACTCTTGTTGTGCTAAGTTGAATAATCCATATTAACCATGTCAGTAAACAGCATATAATTCCTTTCTCTTAGAGCATCTTTATCCTGTGGACATTAAAAATGTAACGCCTGAAGCTGTAGAAGCAGCAGCCCGGATGTACCATGCAAAACTTTTAGAGGAACCGTTATCTGATGCCGAGTTTTTCTCAGTCCCAGGAAGAGAGAATGTGAGTATATTTGGTTACTTCTTTCCAGATGTTAGCAAAATAGAGCAGAGCTTTTTTTGTTAAAATGGCTTAACGAACACCATACCAAGTTAAAAATTGCTACATCTTTAAAGACAAGCATGTTTTAGTCATTTTAAGAAAAGGAGAATGAGAGAATGTCTAAAGCAGAAATGAATGAAAAGTAGTTTGATAACTTAAAGCATATGCAGCAGCTTTAAACACCTCTCCTTCCCCCAGACTACCACTCGCTCTGGAAAAAGACCACGGAGATAGAGAGAGAGAGAGAGTGGGGGGGGGGGGGTCCCTGAACTCAGTGGCTGGAAGCAGGAGCATGAAACCTAGCTATAACATCTTGACTCCATGGACCTTACAGAGGTGGAAACCTGGGCTCAGAATTTATACAAGCCCCAGCCAGAGGCTGTCATGTGGTTTGATAGTTACAGGGCCTATCCTTGCCCATGCCTGTTCCCTTCTGATTATAATGAGGGTTCTGGGAATCCTTTGTTGCTCTCATGATGAGGTCGCAGCTTTAGACCCAGGCCAAGCATCAGAAGATGGAACTCCGCAGAAGTTCTACATGAACAAGGAGGGAAAGCCAAGGTTAAGTGCCTGAGCAGAGATGGAGAACTTCCATCCCTGTTGTCACCTATCTCTTTTCCAGGGTCAGCAGTTGCTGTTGCAGTTGAAACGTTCCATTTTCTATGCAGTAAACCCTGGGTGAAAAGGTCTTCTGGTGGCCATGTGGGCACCATCTTCCCCACCTGATCCACCATGATGCTCTGAAGAGCTGCAGAATGAGGAGCTGAGTCCGGGTCCAAGGCAAAGCTCAGGAAGGGGCCGCAGGAGCTCTTCCAAGCTTCAGAAAAGGCATCTCTTTTGCTGGTCCTTAATGCTACAGCCAGGCTGTTAACCAAGGCCGGCTGGAGGGAGCATGTGACTCCCTTGCGACTGACTACCAGTCTGTTGCCAGGCAGAATTCAGAGCACTGGTTATGCCCATAATGCTCTGTACTGCTTGGGATCAGGCTTTCCAAAGGGCTTGTTCAGTTCTTAAGTTCTTCAGGAGACACCCTTCTTTTCGGACCCCTGCTGGCCGAGAGGCAGATGATGGTACTTGAAAAAGGTCCCAGGCTGGGAAACTGCCCTTGGGGGAGGCTCGATGCATGCCCTCTCTGCCGCCCTCTGTGGATCCGGCTGCTGTACTCAAGCGGTCTTTGGCCTTGAAGTGGTCTTTTGGGTTGGCAACAATCTTTGATTGAAAATAATTTTTTAAAAAGAAATCTGTAATAGTTACCATTTTATTCATTTTAACAGATTGCTCTATTGCTTAATTCCTTTTAGTTGTGATTTCATTTAATCACCCCCACCCCCCGAGTGCCATTTTTGGTGGAAAAGTCAGGAACAAATAAAAAAGTGGTAGAAATCCAGTAATCCCTGTGATAAAGGCCCTTGGGGTACCCGACATCGGCTGTGCAGGTGGGGAGGGGGTTGCTGCAGAATCGCAGCCTCTCTCCAAAGATGTGCCTCCCCGGGACTGAGTTAGTGAGACACCTGGTGCCTCTGGGCCTGAGGCCATGGCCTGGTCTGGCTTGCACCCTGCCTATGCGTTTTACCCAGCATCGCCAGTTTAATTTCCCACAATTCCTGCAACCTAGTTTCACTCTAGTGCATTGTGGGAAATTAAAATGGCCATTGCCAGGGGCCCACAAACATGGGAGTGGCCCCACCACAAGCTCTTCATGGGGAACCTCTTCAAATCTAGAGTGAGCTTTGGCCAGAACGCTCCGCTGCCGAGTCACACCTGAGTTTCTGATGGCCTGTAGTCCATTTGATGGCCTCAGGAGAACTCTTGACTCGTGCTGCTCAGATGGAGCTGCTCCTGCCACATGAGATGCCACTGTTGAAACCGAGCCAGCTTTCCAAAGCGGCACTGCTCTTCAGTGAAAAATGTCAGCAATAAAAAAGCCCTGAAGAGGCACTTTGGATCCAAGCTGTAGCTTTGACTTCCCCGTAATCCAAACTTGGCAGCATTTAGCCCTGTAGATTGAAAGTTGCTATTGCATAATCTGTGATTGCTTGAATCCAGCTGATTCCCTTTCAGGACCATGGGGTGTTTGCGTTTCTACCATTTGCGTTTTCTAATGTGCGTTGCGTTGTCATGGAAAACTTGAACAAAAAGGGTTGATGCAAACTAGATAAAAATGTTTTCAGATTAAGTCGGCAGTGCAGGCTGTTCCCAGCGGGAGACAGACAGGATGTGCAAGTCTTTCTCTCATTCCCCACTCCTTTTGGCACCCTTTCTCTGTTACTCCTTTGCAGAATACTCCTAATTCGCACAGACAAGAAAAAGACTCTGTGAGTGCATTATTTTCTTGAATGGCAGAGACACCAACTGAATAATTGGTTCTTGTAATCTTGGAACGTGGTTTGTAGCCATTTCCAAAGGAAGGGAGAAAGAAAGCCAGAATAGATGAGGGGATTACTTAATGAGGGAAGAAGCAAGGCGGTCCGTCTGGCTTGAAATACTCTTTCGATGCCCTCTAGTGTCCTGGGAGCATCACTGCTTCCGAGGCAAAATGAACTGTGGGCGGTGAGAACGGGGCACAAGAGGGTGACAGCGATGCTCCTGTCCTTAGCTCAACCTGCCGTGCCTGGATGCAGTGCATGGGTCCCATCTGGTGCTGCGCTGGGGAGAGCGGGGGCTGCGGGGAGAGGAGCCGAGGAGCTTAGTCTGCTGAGCAACACTGCTGCCTCACAATAGCGAGACACAATAGGGTGAGCCCAGGACGCCCCCACCCCGTGGGCTCTAATTCCAAACCATTTCTGGTTTACTGCTGGACTTGCACGTAATTTCGGTCTCTGGATGCGTGGGGTGGGTGTCAGTGAGATAGGAGAGCAAGTCGACAGTGATGCTGGACCGCCGCAGCCTTCAGGACCTTCTTCCTGCGGTCGTCTCCCTCTTGCTCTCCTTGGATTTTGACGGCATCAACCACCTTCTGTGCTGCAAAATGGAATACCCACATGGAGGGTAAAAAAAAGGGGGGTAGTTGACAACTCTGCCCCTCCCCTGCCTTTAAGCTTAAATCCTATCTCAGATACAAATCTATCCCCTTACGAGTTGTGTGTTTCCCTGGCCATTTCCTGCAGGAATTATTTGTTTTTAAACAGAGTCTTGGTATTTGGTAGTTTTTCATCTTGTATGCATTCATATATATATTTAGGGGGAGAGAAAGAGAGTAGAAGATGGAAGCAGAAGCAGAAGAGCAGTGGTCTTTTTTGTGAAGTGTGGGATAGGTTGATTCAGTTAACGGCACTGATTTGGCGGCAGAAGTATTTAAGCAAGGGCTTTGACCCGAAATGCATGCCAAGGCATGGCAGGTTGCCTCCGGCCATCCTGGCAATCAGGCTGCAGCATTAGGAATTAACGCCTGCGCTTCCCCTGCAAAAGAGTTGCATGGGACACTCAGGCTTCTGATTGCTTTAGCTACCATAATGATGCAGATTTATATAACCTTGTAGGTGTGCAGATGCTTTATGCACCTTGGTCCTGTTCATTCCTAGCAGGAAACCAGTTTTTGTTTTTGTTGTTTTGTTTTTTTCATGAGAATTTATCGTGCTAAGCTTTGGCTTTGTTCACTCCTCCTTCTTGCTATCCACACAGAAGTTTAAAGGTTCTGTTTGTAGACTGGAATAAGTCACAGTTTTTCATGATGTATACAGGAAACTGGTTTGTTCAAAGCATACTCAACAAACTGAGATCTGAAATTACCGTTTGATCCTAGTGTGTTGTAACAGTTACCTGCTTGCACCAGAGCTTCTAAATCTAGTATGAGTTTCCATTTGCTAATCCAAAATTCAGTGTGCATCACCATAAGCTGTCCAGCACAACACTCAGAGAACATCTTGTTAATGGTTGGTATAAAAACTGAGAACATCAATAAATAAAAGTTTTGTTATTAGTTATAATTTTCTTGCTTTCCTTCTTGTCATCACACTTTGTCTGTGTGGTAGATTATGAATGCAAGTAACTTCTCTGATTCCAGGTTAAACTTAGTGCTTCATCAATGGACTTCCTTCCTCTGTACAGAGAAGAAAGTATATGCAGGCTTCTGGTCTTACTTGATCCACAAGAGAAGCACACAGGTTGGTGTATCTGTCCCCAAAACCCACTGCTGCCCCTCAGTTCCTAGTAGGGCCCAGAGAAGGGTCTGAAGGTATACCATATGATTACTTAGTTTGTTGAGTTTATCAGCTTTGGCTACTGGTGGCATAGAAATAAATAAATATTAGGAAAGGAAAGGAAAGGAGAAATTGTGAGAAGTGTCTGGATGGGACTTCATTTTGAAACAGCATGTAAATCATTCTGATTTTCTGGGAGGAATCGTGAAATATTAATATAACTACTGCTACCACTCACACATATGTTTATGAATTATGTTTTCATTCCATATATATCCCACCTTTTTTCCATCATGGAACTTGAGGAAGCTACGTGGGATCTCCAGGTGGTCACCTCTCTAAGCACTAAGCAGAAGCAGGCCAGGGCGAGCTCTACACCAGAGCCCCCTCTGTTTGTGAGGAAGTGCAGGTTCCATAATTGTGCAAAATGCATTCCTGAAAGTTGGGTCACATGCTAGTGAACCTAGTGCAAGTGAACCCACATGCTTGTGTTTTGCACAGTGCATTTGCAGGAGGGCTGCAGCCCTTCCCCTGCAGTGGCTTTTCCACAGGTAAACTCCACTGAAATCAGCGTGGCTTACTTTTAAGGAAGGCCATTGATGAGTTACGTATGAGTGGACATGCGTTCCAGCTAGTTCCTTGAGATAGGAGGACAAAGGCTTGATAGAACATTGCAGGCTTGGTCTTTTCTAATGATGGGGAGTGGAGGAGGAAGAAGAAGCAACAGTGCACTGTGTTTTGGGAAGAGAAGCCATGGGGGGGCGGGCGGAGGGAGGCAGGGAAGCTGCCCCCACCCGCCTTCCTGCTGAAGCCCGCCTAGCAGGCACCCTCTTCCCCACCAGTCCCCTGGAGCCCCTTCTCCTGGCCCTGGGGCAATCCTGCAAGCTTAGCACATACTGATAAGAGATACCAAGGGAAAACTGCAGCACATAAAAAAGTTGCAACATAACGGATCAGAATGGCAGGAATAATGCAAGGAGGGTGGATTGGAGTGAGCGTTGTGCAAATGCCAGCGAGGCAGGGGTTGCCACGCCAGGAAAAAGGCCAGGCAGTTTCAGCAGTGTAGCCGGCTCATGTGCCTTCGGAGATGAATCGCCTTCCATGCACCTTGTCTGCTCTTTCCCTAGAGCAGTCTTTTCAGTGGACTGCTCCTGTGCATTACAGAGTAGACACATGGGTTCTGCAGCAAAATGGGTTCCCCCCAGCCAGCAATACCTACTCAAGGATTCTTCATCTCGTCCTTCTTCCTCTGGCTCTATGTTCCTCTCAAAGGCCATCATTCTTTGCTTTTGTGGACCATTTGGCTTTTGCCCATTTTAGGCTTTGTTCCCTGAACATTTCGTGCAATTCTGCTAATTCTGGGGTTCTCCTGAGTCCACTTGTGTGTGGACAGCACCATTTTGGCTGCAGACACTAAGAGGATGAGTTCCTTACTAGTCTGGGAGGGCTCTCTTCTACCTTTGAACTGTACGCTGCTTCCAGTTGCTGGGAACCTGGCCCAGAGGAACTGGTTGCACTCACGGCTTACCTGTAGGGTTCCCACAGGCAACTGGCTGGTCTCACTGCATCCCTCATGATCAAGCAGCACAGAGGAAGTCCAAGATGCGAAAAACAGTCTTGTCATGGCTGGGTGCTTTGCGTCTTTTATGTAACTGGCTCTGACTTCATGTGGGCACTTTTTGACTGGGACACGTTTTAAAAAGATTCATTTATGATGGCAAGTTGCATTTCCACTGTCTAAAGAACTTTTGTTAGCACAATGGTATGTTTACTTGTGAGATTTTATTTGTCTTGCATGCAAAGACCCCAGCTGCAGTTCCTTGGTATTTATAATTTTTGAAGCATGATTTTCTGGCACAGGGACTGGGAAGCATCTTTGTTAGAAAGCTTAAAGAGTCACTGCTACTTAGGACAGGCAGCGGTCAGCTCGACGGCTCACGGGCCAGGAGTCTTGTCTTGGCCTACTAGGTATGTCCACAGACTTAGGCTGCTGTACGAAAAAAGGTTATTTATTTTCACTGGTTGTGTTTATTGGTATTCTTAAACCCTCTTTCCAGAATTTGGGAAACATTTCTTTAAGGTTATGCTTAACAAAAATTTTTAGATGTGGGGACTTCTATTGATAAAACTGTTCAAGAAAGTTTAGGATAATAAATCCACACCTGGGGCGGGTGTGAATGTTTCCGTCAACAGAAGTGCATCGTTTTGAGCATCAGGAGCATCACCGAATACCCAAATTGGCTTGCTGTAGCACTCTGCATGTGGAGCAATTCTCTAGTAGTTGGACAAAAATGTTTGGGCAGGAAATTCAGAGCAAGTTTATAGTTGAACCCATTTTCTTTGGTTGCTTTGATTAAAATGCACTCCCCCCCCCCCCCGGCTTCTTTGCCTTGCCACGTTTTCAAAATGTGAATCTGTAGAAGGGTCCCCGCTCTCTCTGCTTACATATCTGTAGATTCCAACAAGCTTTCATAATGACTTCCTTCCCCACTCCGTGGCTACTAGCACTTGCCCCCCATGGAAAATTCGTATCAATAGATGCAATCCTGTTACTACATTCTGCTTCAGAACCAGCTCGAAGTACACCTTGTTTCCTGAAAGGGATGAATGACGGAAGGGTGTAAAGCCTTGGTCCACAGCCTACAGGTTGCAGGTCAGTAAGTAGCCTTGTTGGCTGGGGTTCAAAGAGGCAGCAGTCCACTACATCTGGAGGGAAGCAGCTGGGACAATCCTAGTTTTCCCAGAGTGGATACTTTTTGGTGTCCCACAGTGAAATTCGATGCATGATTCATGGTGAAACTTAGGATGCCATCAAGACCATGGCCATATACGTGAATAGCAAGATCAGTTGACCAAGTGCTGCTCAAAATGGCAGCAGCCGGAGCCAAGAGGGTGTGAAGAGCAGGGCTCCTCCCTCTTTTGTCTCTCCATATCAGACTCAGACTGACACCTTAGATTCTATCCTTGGAGTCCTAAGCAGTTGGGTGAGGAAGAAACGGTGCAGGGGGTAAGGGCTTGTGAGAAATCTGTTTGCAGGTAGGAATCTAACAGATTTTCTGGGCTTGGAAAAAGTCCTCTGGTTCCAAGCATGCAACAGCTAGAGAGTTGGCTCGCTGGAGAGATGCAGAGAGTTTGTAGCACTCTTTAAGGGTTAATCATGCATAGGATTGTACCTTTATTTGTCTATTCCTGGCATTGGCTAGAGTAGTGCTAAAACTCTGAGAACTCATCTCAGGGGTTGAATCTACCTTATCTTGAGACCATTGGTCAGCCCAGCCCAGTATCATGTATTCTGATTGGCAGCCACTAGGGACGCTTCAGAAATTTGATATTTACAAGTACCAGCACAGAAGGACCTGATCCATTCCTCTCTGATGGATCGCGGAGTGGAATATAAACACTTACTAGCTTTGCCACCTCTCTGACTGTTGCAATTTAGTTCTTGGCAGTTTAAATGCATTCTTTGATAAATTTAAATAAGCCTTTTGACAGAAAAGGCATGTTTCAACATTAAGGTTGAGAGAAAATTCTCTTCTCTTCTCTTCTCTTCTCTTCTCTTCTCTTCTCTTCTCTTCTCTTCTGATTAAGGCAGAAACAGAACAAAATTATAGGTAACAATATGTGAGTATGACATGGGCCCGTAGCCTCTTTCTAGAGCCTCAGACAATCACCAGCCATCCCGGAAGATGTCTGGGGACCTCTGCATGCAGAAATGTTCTGGGAGAAGCTAAGGGTGAAGCTCCCTGGCCTGAGATTCTTGGTTACTTGTTGCTAAACTAAGTCCCCTTGTGGGTGTTTATCATAACCTTAGCATGTCTAAGTGTTTAAACCAAAGTTAATGCGGTGAATTGGAATTTGGTTTAATGTTTCTCACTGGTTTTACTATATGGAAATGTGATGACACATCACTGCATGTGTTTGAAAAATATGTTTCCTATTTATACCCAAACGTGAGCGGTGTTAGGTTTATAATGAATACATTCTAATACATATTCATGAACCATGTGAAATTTCTGCAGCAATTCTTACATCAATATATATTTTTAAAGTTAAAATTCCTTTCCCCAACAAATGTTTTCTTTTCCAAAGAGCTTACTTTTATTTCCATAAGAACTTCTTGTGTGTTACTGTAACAAAGCCAAGAGAACATTATGCTCCCAGTTTTTTATCTTTCTATTTTATACAAACTTCCGGATGTTAATCGGCTGCTGCCCAGTTCAAAGCCTCCCTCATGACTGAACTCCTTCACAGCGCTCTCAACCACCTTGTGATTTGCCGTTTTGTGAGCTTTCTTAGTTTTGGAACACGAAGAGCCAAAACGGCCCCTTCCTTCCACTTAGCTTCTAATCACCGTGTCCAGAAGCCTTAAGATTGCAACCTCCCTTAAGCCTCCTTTTAATATGATTGTGATATGGTGTGGGAAGGTGTGGAGGGTAGCAAAAGAGCACATTGGTTCCTTCCCGCCAGCCTTTTAACGAGTCCTGGTCACAAGAAGCTCCCCTTGTGGCTCCCTGGAACATTGTGTGTCTTAATAGCTTTCCACTGAATTAGGTGTGAAAGTTTGCAGTCCGTTTAATGGGTAAGTGAAGTTTGTATTTTCCACTGCTGCTTTTGAAGCAATTGCAGCTGGAGAAGTGAGGCAGGAACTGTCTCTCCTGTGAAGTCTGAGGAGTTGCAGTGTGTGTGTTTCTCCCATTGCATCCCCATTTTTTTCTGCTTCCTCACCTGTTGGGAATGGGCAAGTGACTAGAGTAACATGGAACAGCCCGATCCTGAGCTGCAGGGAAGGGCCTGCAACATTTTCTGTCCAAGCATGCTCCTTAAAAATAGCCCCTTCCCCACAGTCAGCCACCCCCACCCTCCCATCCCATAACTCCATGTCCTGCATCCGGGGCTTTTTTAAGAACTCGAAAGACTGTTCCAGCCTCTGCTCCCCTTCTCAGTCAATGCTTCATTTACCGGTG